CCATTGGAAATAGAGTAGATGTAGGCTCAAATACCTGTAACAGGATCTGAGACTTTGAGTCCGGAATAGAGAGTGGGCTGTGAAAGCTGCACTTTGTGTGCTGAGGCAGTACCATCAAAAGGGCTCTAGGGCTGGCTGTGTGGGAGGACAGAGGAGGCTGATGCCACCAGGATCCCCAAAAGCATATTGCCTGTGGGGATTCAGCTCCTTGGACTCTCTTACAAGGACCAACGTGAGAATTGACATTTACCTTCCTGAAAAAACAGTTTGAAAGGAGTTGACTGGCACTGATAAGGGCACTGAAATGTTAGTGCTTACATGAAGAATAATGAGAATAATGAAGATGAGGAAATCAATCAAATATAATCACACTTATTAAAGGACACCTTCATGTACGGCAGGCAACCTGTACACTGCACTACTGTGACTGTCAATAACTATGCTTAAATAAGAGGAGATAATACTGTGGTTCTTTAGTTTGCAAGCGTGAAGCAAGAAACCCTGACAGCAGTGCTGAGCACATTAAGCACTCTGTAGGTCAGAAATATGAACACCCTTAGAATTACTAATAATTTTCCAAAAATGAAGGGAATCAGGAATGTTTTGGACCATACAGTAATTTCTGTTAATCTGCATCTCTGCCCTAGAACTGTACTGGTTGTGAGCAGCCTCTTGTAATGTGTTTTGTTCCCTCTTTTAATTATTTTGATTATGGCTGTTCTCAGAGATAGGACACTTAATTTAGCTGTCAATGGCAATCCCTGTTCTGATACTGAGAATGGTGAAACATTTTTATAATCATCCTCCAAATTAATTCATCTAGGCTAAATAACAGATTTTTATTCATCAAGTATCAGGCTAATGTGTGTTCTTCTAAGTCTATGAAAGACATATGGAAAACAAGTTTGTCTGATCTAAGATGTATTTGCTGTAGAAATGCCAACTTTCTTCCATACACTTTTGTGCTTGAGAGTGCTTCATCGGATTTTGTCATTGTTGTTAATATAGGGATGTCATTGTCATACTGACCTCTTTTGTTTGGGAAGCTGATAAGCAGTATCTATCCCAGTGCTGCCGATCTGTTTTACAGGGGTTTGAACATTATTTTCCACTGTATACTATCTAAGCTTTTTTTAACTCCACAAATTTTCCTTTCTGAGTGAGTGATCTGCACTTTACTGCAGCAAACTTAACTAGCTCAGGCTTTCTCATTCCAAATTAGTTCTTCTCTTGCTTATAAACATTGGTTCTGGAAGCCCTGAGTCAGAAACATTAACTACTTTTTGAAAAAAAAGTTATTATTTTCTAATCTAGTATATGTAGTTATTTGTGCTTAAATAAGATCTGTTTTAGGTCCAGAAAGTGGCTGCCGTAGAGGTTTCTGGAAGGAATTCCCCTCTTGGAAAGACACGCATAGTATTGCACATGGGCAAAGAATTCATTAGGACACAGGCTCCTTCTCATGTGTAAATATTGGCTTGTGCCGGAATTAGCACTCTGTGTTCAAAGAAATAAGTTTGATGATTATAATATGGTAATTTCCAGTTACCGGTTGCTGACTCTTCTTGCATTCATCTGGTAGGGTGCCTACTGTGAGTATAGAAAAATACCATATGCCTCTCTTACACCCTTATTCTAGGTTGCTCAATTATAGCACTCAATGACACAAAGCCACAGTTACCTGGCTGTGTCTCAAACACATTAAATCCCATGTAACCAGCCCCACAACAAAACCTCAAATACTTGGCTCTGATGGATGGTGTTATAATGAGGGTGGAGCTCAGTTCAATAGCCAATTTAATGCATCTTAATGTTCTAACATGCTTTCGTTTCATATCTAGGACAATAAACGCTGCAGTAAAGTTTTATTTAAAGCAGGTCTGTTTTGCAAAATGAGTCTTGCATATGGAACAAAACACTCATTGTCGCTTTACTGTTTAAACCTTTATTATTGCTTTTTTTTCCCTGGTACAATGGGCTTTTATGCACCAAACAGCTGTGTTCATCATGTTTATTTAGAAGGCGTCCATTGTAGTGGAAAAAGTCTGGAGGACAAAAATCTTGGTGAAGTGCAAGACTACTCTGTGGGTGCTGGCACTATTATTTAATTTTTTTTCTGTCCAGTTCCTTTGGTCAGCATGCAAGTCACATACACAGGCACTGCCATGCAGACTTGCAAACCCTGTATAATAGCAACTTTTCACAAGTGCCGTCTCTTATTCCAAGTGTTCTCCTCCAGAAATTTTCAATTCCAAGGCAACATACAAGACGTGTGACTATTTTACACCCTATGATCCTATCGTTTCTCAATCTGTTGCTATTTTGGCCCCTCATTAGGTCACTTTCCAAATATTGTGTACAGCTATGTGTCAATCATTGTCACAGCTCGGCTCCGGGCTAAGCCAACCCAGGACAAAACTGGAAGGAAAAAAAAAATGCCAACCAAAGCAAGCACTGTGTAGAAAACAGTCAACAGTTTAACTGTGGAAAGCTATGTGTTGTTCCAAAGATAGCATAAGCCCACTTGATGCAGAAGCAGCACACGGTACTAATGGTCCCCAAAATAATTCTACACAGTTGAAATACGTAGTGTATACCCAATGGCATCTGCAAATAAACAGATGTTAGAATCTCAAGAATTAAGAGCATGACATTGTAGGAAACTCTGGGGTGACTCCTGCCAAAAAAGCCGTCTAGTTTCCAGTTTCTGGAAAGAACAGGGCACCTTAACGTATCGACACAACTTTTTTTGAGTAGCAGCATCTCTAACACCTTCCAAACCTTTGAATGAAAGCTGAGGTTTAAGCAGGCAGCATTAGGCTGGGGAACTAAAGGGTTCCTTACTTTCTTTGGGGTATATCCAGCAGGATGGGCGCATTGCCATGCCGTGTGAGATGGCTGAGAACCCTTCCCTCCTCTTGGGTTACCCGGTATTCACACGGAGTTCAGGTAGATATTGGAAACACAGAAGTGTCTCTATCAGCCACATAGTCAGTGCTATTGTCACAGGCTGGAAAACAAACTGGAACAAACTAACATGCTTGATCTTTTAAAAAATATTGTAATATCTGTATAGAATGAAATGGCTCCTTATTTCCTGAATGGTGAATGCTCTAGGCTTTCTACAGGGCTGGCATTATCGGTTGTTGTCATTTGTGCACCTCAGGAAACTGTAATGAGGTTAAAAAGAGCAGAATAAAGTTGCATCCATACAGCTCACAGACGGCAGGAATCCATGCAGAAAAACAGCTAAAGTGACTGCTGAGACCCGAAAGTGGCACGGCCAGGGGGGCTGCAAAGGTGCTGAGTGCTTGGAGCTGGGGCTGAAGCACGGGTCTGGAGAAGGCCTGGCATACTGGGGAAATGATTTTCCATATTGGGAGAAAACACTTTGGGGGAAAAAGAATAAAAAGAAAAGAAAAAAAAAATAACTGGAAAGAAATGTAAGCCAAGTGGAAAGAGAGAGAGTGTGACAAAAGGATTAGCCCCTACTTGCAAACAGTATAGTAGAAGCAGAAAAAGAACTCGAGGGGAACTTTAAGGAAAAGAAAACTGTTTCTCAGAGACTATTTCAAAGGCTTCCTGGATGCAGCCTCCGTTTACTTGTTTTTTCCTTTTTCTCCCAAGAAGAAAAAGGACCTGCTGTGAGCAGAATGTATCCTGACTTGAACAAACGCAGACCTGAATGGAGTCCCAGTCTGGAGAGAGTCCATGTAGGACAAACCCCTGGAGTCTTATTGCTACCTGGGCACCACAAATCTTGTAAGCCAAGCACAGAGGGGCAAAATCTACAATTTGTAATCAACAGGTAGGTAGCTGGAAGTTTAAATTCCACTGCTGGCTGGTCCTGTAGCAAAACCAATGCGCTTGTTAAGCCTGCATATTTTTAAAACTGGGAATATTATGCTGTGCCTAATGAGGCTGGGTACATCAGACTGAAGGGATTTTGAACTCTATACTTTCAAAAATAGTGTCTGGTTTGAGACAGGATGTGTTTTGTGAAATTCTTAAGGAAGGAAGAATTTCTAATTAGGGAAAAATGAATGTGTATATATAACTCCAGCTCTTAACTGTTAACAGCTATAACACCAGAGCAGTTGGGGAATTTGATTTGTTTTTAATTAACAAGCCCATAGCTTTGCTGACAGAACTGAAATGTGCGTTTTGACTGACAATACTTTTAAAACCTGTGCTTTAACATAAACGGCGCTGGGAAGGACTCTGAGATGTCCTTCTGTGGGAAGTGCCAGAGCGGGTCGGATGCAGATTCTGTCTAGCCCTCATCAAACGGAGCCACCACTGAATGTCAGTGGCACCAGCCCTCGTGGTAGGGAGCAACAACATTGCTGGATCATTTCTGGAGAGACTACGTTGTGCGAGATGCCACCTCGCAGGGTCTCCACGCATGTGAAGTCCCTCCAATGCAGAAGTGCTTGACCTCAACAACTTCCTGTGACAGGGAGTTCCACAGTGAATTGTCTTCGCACACCCTAGCTTTTTAGCTTCCTTCCCTTTGGTTTCATTTAGCCCGCTTCTCGCCTTACGAAACGCGCGCAGAACTCCTTTTTCGCTCTGTTTTTGTCACGTTCCTGTTTATATCTCTTCCTTTTAAACAACGCCAGCCTCCGCGCTCTCCTAAGCTATATATATACTTTATACCAACCTCTTTAATTACCGCTTTTTAAAACAGAGAAGGGGGTAGGGGAGCGGGATTATTTATTTTTTTTTTTTTGCATGTCATTACGGACATAGCGCTTAATTTTTACTTTTTTGTTTGTTTTTTTTTTTTGGTGTCCCCCCCGCCTCGCACCACGCAATCGGTGTAACCATTTACCAGACTGTCAACACGGGCGGTGGGGATGAAGGAGGCGGCGAGAGGCTTCGCCAACGCGGCTCCGGCCCCGGCGACGGTCCCGTCTCGTCGGGGGGAACCCGCCGCGACATCATGGCGGTGGAAGAGGGGGGTGGGGGGGGGGGGTTGTTGGTCGGAGCGGACTCACCTCGCTCCTCTGGAGCTGGAAGAAGCTGTTGAGATAGCTGGAGCTGAGCGAGGAGCCCAACTCCGGGGTGCTCTTGGTGTAGCCGAGGTCGGGGTGCTGGGAGGAGGAAGGTTCGGGTCTGAAGGCATCGAAGGCGCTGGCCTGGTGGGTGTCTTGCAGCGAGAGATAGACCCAGTTGAGGAGCTGGGCGGGCTGGTAGACGGACGCGGCGCTGGTGTCGATGGCTGACAACAAGCTCATCTTTCCCCGGGGGGCTCTGCCGCCGGTGCCGCTCCCCGCGCTCCGGCTTTTCCCCTCCCTGCCCGGGGGTGCTTCCTCCTCGCCGCCCGCAGGAGAGGACAGGAGAGGACGGACCGGGGCCGGGGGTTTTTCTGCCCAGACCCTGGCACAGCCCTCATCCCACAGCTCCCCCAGGAGCCTCCACTCCTCACGGGAAACACAGGAATTAAAAAAAACCCTCAGCTTTGGTCTAATTCATTGCTCGCTTTTTTTTTTTTTTTTTTTTTTTTTTCCCCTCCCTCCCTCCTCTTCTCCTCGTCCGGCTTTTCCCCTCCCTGCCCGGGGGTGCTTCCTCCTCGCCGCCCGCAGGAGAGGACAGGAGAGGACGGACCGGGGCCGGGGGGCTTTCTGCCGGGCCCCACGCCGCTCTCTGTCCCCCCTAAGGCCGGCGGCGCCCGCCCAGCCCCAGCGCTCCGCGCAGCACGGGCATCGCTGCCGCCGCCCGCGGGCTCCGCAGGAAACTTTCTGCGCTCGCTTTTTTTCTTTTTTTTTTTTTTTTT